GCTGCAGGGGTCGAAACTCAGCTCCTGGCCCCGCCTCTTCACTGATCGCTACTAGGTCCTTTCTCTCTCTGCTTCCTGAGCTGTATCATACCTCTTCTTAAAACTATGTATGGTTCCTGCCTACACTACTTCACTTGCTAAGCTATTCCACTTCCTGACAACTCTATGACTGAAGAAATACTTCCTAACGTCACTGTGACTCGTCTGAGTCTTCAGCTTCCAGTTGTGACCCCTTGTCCCTGTGTCCCCTCTCTGGAACATCCTATCTCTGTCCACCTTGTCTATTCCCCGAAGTATCTTGTATGTCGTTATCATGTCTCCCCTGACAGTTCTGTCCTCCAGTGTCGTCAGTCCGATCTCCCTCAACCTTTCCTCGTACGACATTCCCCTGAGCTCTGGGACTAGCCTTGTTGCAAACCTTTGTACCTTCTCTAACTTCTTGACGTGCTTGACCAGGTGCGGGTTCCAGACTGGTGCTGCATACTCCAGTATGGGCCTAACATACACAGTGTACAGTGTCTTGAACGATTCCTTATTAAGGTATCGGAACGCTATTCTCAGGTTTGCCAGGCGCCCGTATGCTGCAGCAGTTATTTGGTTAATGTGTGCCTCCGGTGATGTGCTCGGTGTTATGGTCCCCCAAGGTCTTTCTCCCTGAGTGAGGTCTGTAGTCTTTGTCCACCTAGCCTATACTCTGTCTGCGTTCTTCTTTGCCCCTCCCCAATCTTCATGACTTTGCATTTGGCTGGATTGAATTCGAGAAGCCAGTTACTAGACCACATGTCCAGCCTGTCCAGGTCTCTTTGCAGTCCTGCCTCATCCTCATCCGATTTAATTCTTCTCACCAACTTCACATCATCTGCGAATAGGGACACTTCAGAGTCTTTTCCTTCCATCATGTCGTTCACATATATCAAAAATAGCACTGGTCCTAGAACTGACCCCTGTGGGACCCCGCTCGTCACAGGCTCCCACTGTGATACCTCTTCACGTACCATGACTCGTTGCTGCCTCCCTGTCAGGTATTCCCTGATCCATTGCAGTGTCCTCCCTGTTACATGCGCCTGATCCTCCAGCTTCTGCACTAATCTCTTGTGGGGAACTGTGTCAAAGGTCTTCCTGCAGTCTAGGAAAACGCAATCTACCCACCCCTCTCTCTTGTGTCTTACTTCTGTTACCTTGTCATAAAACTCCAGGAGATTTGTGATACAAGATTTGCCTTCCATGAACCCATGCTGGTTTTCATTTATCTTCTTGTTCCTTTCCAGGTGTTCGACCACTCTCCTGATAATCTTCTCCATGACTTTGCACACAATACATGTCAGAGACACAGGTCTGTAGTTTAGCGACTCGTTTCTGTTTCCTTTCTTAAATATGGGGACTACATTAGCTGTCTTCCATTTCTCAGGTAGTTGCCCAGTTTCAAGGGATGTGTTGAAGATTGTGGTTAGAGGCACGCACAGCATCTCTGCTCCTTCTCTAAGGACCCATGGGGAGATGTTGTCCGGTCCCATCGCCTTTGAGGTGTCAAGGTCACTTAGGAGCTTCTTCACCTCCTCCTCAGTTGTTCGTATGTCATCCAACACTTGTTGGTATATTCCCTCTTGATGTTCCCTTCTGTGCTGTCTTCCCACAGCCCTTCCTGTCTCTACTGTAAAAACTTCCTTAAATCTCCTGCTCAGCTCCTCACACAATTCCTGATCATTTCTTGTGAGTTCTCCACCTTCTGTCCTTAATCTGATCACCTGGTCTTTGACTGTTGTCTTCCTCCTGATGTGGCTATACAACAGTTTCGGGTCAGTCTTGATTCTCGATGCTATGTCATTTTCATACTGTCGCTGGGCCTCCCTCCTTACCTGTGCATACTCATTCCTGGCTCTGCGACTGATCTCCCTATTTTCGTGTGTTCTCTGCCTTCTGTACTTTTTCCATTCTCTATTGCACTTTGTTTTTGCCTCCTTACACCGTCGGGTAAACCAGGGGCTCGTTCTGGTCTTCCCGTTGTTACTGTTGCCCTTGGGAATAAATCTTTCCACTGCCTCCTTGCATTTTGTAACATATTCCATTATTTCATTTTCTGGCTTTGCTGCCAGTTCTCTGTCCCACTGGACCTCCCGCAGGAAGTTTTTCAACCCTATGTAGTCCCCTCCTTTATAGTCAGGCTTTTCCCATTCAACTCCTGTTATTCTCTCCACTTGCAGCTCTACTATGTATTCAAAGCACAGAACCACGTGGTCGCTAGCTCCTAGGGGACTCTCATACTTGATGTCTTCAATGTCTGAGCTGCCCAGGGTGAACACAAGGTCCAATCTTGCTGGTTCATCCTCCCCTCTCACTCTGGTAGTGTCCTTAACATGTTGGTGCATGAGGTTTTCCAGCACCACGTCCAACATCTTGGCTCTTCATGTTTCGGGACCCCCATGTGGCTCCAGGTTTTCCCAGTCAATCTCCCATGTGGTTGAAATCCCCCATAACCAGCAACTTTGCTCTGCTGGAGTGAGCTCTTCTTGCCACCTCAGCAAGTGTGCCCACCATTGCTCTGTTGCTCTCTTTATATTCCTCTCTTGGCCTCCTGCAGTTCTGTGGTGGATTATACATCACTGCAATGACTACTTTGTGTTCCCCAGACTGAAGTGTACCTGCTATGTAGTCTCTTTCTCCCGTCTCATCTATGCCTTCCATTTTCTCGAATTTCCATCTGTTTTTTTACGAGCAGAGCAACCCCACCTCCCCCCCTGCCCCTTCTATCTTTCCTCATGATCTGGTATCCTGGTGGGAAGATTGCATCTGTATCTGGTAAGGTCCTTGCACATGTCCTAGTTCCTTCAATGTCTTTTAACCTCTCATTCTGTCCTAGTGTGCTCCCTGCCTTTGTTTTGGCCCCATGTGGGTTTGACAGGACCTCTGCATACAGTTTAGTTTCCATGCTTCCTTCAGACCTGTTGTCTGTGTTTGATGTAGCCATTACCGATGCTTCTTCTGTAATATCTTTGTCTCTGTGCTGTTTCAGATGTCAGTGTGTGTGTGTGTGTGTGTGTGTGTGTGTGTGTGTGTGTGTGTGTGTGTGTGTGTGTGTGTGTGTGTATGTGTGTGTTTTGAAAGTGTGAGGTAAATTAAGCACGACTTATACAAAACCGCAATGTATAATACAGCTTATTTTACAATACCACATTGCAAAATACTTGCAAATACAAAAAAAATATTGCAAAACCCTGAAATACAACCCTGCAAAACTTAATATGCTATGCAGCACCTAACAGCGTCATACAATGCCACATACCACACAAAACCACAATACCAAGACTGAGATGCAACACCATAATACGTATCACTCATATAACTATAACACGCGCACACAACACTGGTATAACACCTCAGTCACCCCCAAAGCGGGGAGAGTCAGTGTAGTGTGTGTCTCTGGTGCTGCCTCCGGGTATTGGATTTTGTGAGAGACTGGGAGAGATACTCGTATATAGGGAGAGATACGTCACTGGTGACGAGATACGAACAGGGGCGTACACCCGTCCCGTGTATGTGTGTGTGTGTGTGTGTTTTGTGTGTGTGTGTGTTTTGTGTGTGTGTGTGTGTGTGTGTGTGTGTGTGTGAGAGAGAGAGAGAGAGAGAGAGAGAGAGAGAGAGAGAGAGAGAGAGAGAGAGAAAGAATGGTTATTCCCGTCGACACAGTTTATCTAACAGTGTAAATATATATGATACTGTGCTTATGGGAGATTCTAAAGAAAAATTGCAATGGTTAGTGGATGAGTTTGGGAATGTGTGTAAAGGTAGAAAGTTTAAAGTGAACATAGAAAAGAGTAAGGTGATGAGGGTATCAAATGATTTAGATAAAGAAAAATTGGATATCAAATTGGGGAGGAGGAGTATGGAAGAAGTGAATGTTTTCAGATACTTGGGAGTTGACGTGTCGGCGGATGGATTTATGAAGGATGAGGTTAATCATAGAATTGATGAGGGAAAAAAGGTGAGTGGTGCGTTGAGGTATATGTGGAGTCAAAAAACGTTATCTATGGAGGCAAAGAAGGGAATGTATGAAAGTATAGTAGTACCAACACTCTTATATGGATGTGAAGCTTGGGTGGTAAATGCAGCAGCGAGGAGACGGTTGGAGGCAGTGGAGATGTCCTGTCTAAGGGAATGTGTGGGGTAAATATTATGCAGAGAATTCGGAGTGTGGAAATTAGGAGAAGGTGTGGAGTTAATAAAAGTATTAGTCAGAGGGCAGAAGAGGGGTTGTTGAGGTGGTTTGGTCATTTAGAGAGGGTGGATCAAAGTAGAACGACATGGAGAGCGTATAAATCTGTAGGGGAAGGAAGGCGGGGTAGGGGTCGTCCTCGAAAAGGTTGGAGAGAGAGGGGGTAAAGGAGGTTTTGTGGGCGAGGGGCTTGGACTTCCAGAAAGCCTGCGTGAGCGTGTTAGATAGGAGTGAATGAAAACAAATGGTATTTGGGACCTGACGAGCTGTTGGAGTGTGAGCAGGGTAATATTTAGTGAAGGGATTCAGGGAAACTGGTTATTTTACATAGCCGGACTTGAGTCCTGGAAATGGGAAGTACAATGCCTGCACTCTAAAGGAGGGGTTTGGGATATTAGCAGTTTGGAGATATATATTGTGTATTTTTATACGTATATACTTCTAAGTTGTATTCTGGGCACCTCTGCAAAAACAGTGATTATGTGTGAGGTGAAAGTGTTGAATGATGAAAGCATTTTCTTTTTGGGGATTTTCTTTCTCTTTGGGTCACCCTGTCTCGGTGGGAGACTGCCGACTTACTAAAATATATATATATATATATATATATATATATATATATATATATATATATATATATATATATATATATATATATATATATAATTTTAATCTTCGCATTGTACTGAATAATCTATTATTTCAGATCAAATACTCGCAGAAGAAAATCCACAATTCTACATTATAAGACGTTAACTGACGTCAATAGGCGACAAAAAACGCAAGGTTTAGACAATGCTTTATTAGAAGACAAATTTATTGACAAAAATTATTTGTGCTTAGGTACGTTACACGTTGTATGACCCTTGTAGATTTATCGCTTTCCCATGAACAACAACAGCATAATAACAAGCGTAACGATTTGAGACCCAAACTCAGGGCATGTTTCTCGTAGTCGGTGCTGAACATACTAATATTGGAAAGACTTGGCATTAGGGGCATATGATTTAAGTGTAGATATGGTAAATAGGAATAAAAGGAGATATTGAGATGAGGACAAGTGTAATAAACTTCCAAGTAGCATCACTGAAGCGAGAACTTTGGATGGGTTTATGCATAGGCTCGACTACACTGATAACCTGCCCTTGGTCTGATCTTTTTCCTCTGTCCTCTGGTTCTATTTGCGGGCATGGTTATGTCTCATGTGGTTGGTGTAATAAGACCTGGATATCCAAGGAGCAGCAACAGACGATGGACCCTGGCTACGGCCGTGGACATCCTCCTCTTCTCCTCCTCTGTGAAAGGATCGAAGTCTACACTTCCCTTCCTCTTGAAAGGACCATCCAGGTGTGAGCGGAGGCAGGCGAGCCTATCCTCGTCCACAGGAACCCTGGGATAGGAAGCTGCTCTTAATATGTCTGTCTACTCATCCCGTTGAGTCTGCCTGGTCCTGATTCCTAATTTTGTGTCTGGTTACCTTTTCATTGTAGGTACATGCACAGAGCCCTATTTGCATATAGAGTTTGGCGCTATGCTGTGAAAAAATAATAGAAATTAAAAAATATTATACCTACATTGTTTATATATTATATATATATATATATATATATATATATATATATATATATATATATATATATTATATATATATATATATATATATATATATATTATAATATATTATATATATATATATATATATATATTACCGCACTACAATACTCTGAAAATCTTACCCTATTTTCTCCCGCTTGCTGCCCTTGCAACATTGCACAGCTCCTGATGACGCACTGAGAATGCGAAAGTGCTTGAGCTGAAGATTTCCACCCCCCCACCTCCCGGACTTGTCTTGCATTGTTGTTAAGATCGCCTGTCTGCGATTGTTTTGCATATAATTATATATATAAATAATATATATATATAAAATAATATAATATTATATTATAATATATATTTATATAATATATATATATATATATCATATATATATATATATATAATTATTAAATTATATAATTATATATATATACATGTGCCGAATAGGGAAAACTGGTCAATTAACAAGAACTCATTTAAAATTAATTAAGTCCTTTTTTAAACTTTCTCTTATACGTTTAAAGATAAATTATTTTCATTAATGTTAATGTAAAAATTTATAATTTTGCATCAAAAGAATCTTAGAAAACTTACCTAACCTTATTATAATAAGACCAATTTATTTTAGCCTATATATTATATACAATATAATTTAATTACCTGAGAAAGTTCAGGAGGTCACGGAGGTAGTGTTCGGGGTCGACAACAAGAAGTTCGTAGTGAAGAACGTAGAGAGGACCTGTGCACCATAAAAGGCGGTCCGTGGCAAATTCTTCCCAAAGTTCGATGACTTTATTAACATACCTGTGGAAGTCTGGAAAAAAAAAAAGAGCAGCAGCAATGTGTACCATCATTATAACTTTAAAGACGATGAACATTTTCCCGAGTTACGGAAGATTTTCTTTTGATAAAGACTACACCTCCAGCATGAACGAAGTTTCTCGGTGTTATTTCAGAGGTTGAAATGAGAGTCTGACGAGTCGTCCTTTTCACTGACACCTGAGTAACTATCACAGACTGAGGTAGGAGTGTCTGCTTGTGTCATTAAGCTGGATATAGATGAAGTAGCTGGGGATATGAAAACATTCGGTTGCAGATAATATTACGCTTTAAAAAAACAATTGGGATAAACCATATGTAAACTTTAAGGTAGTGTCATTACTGGAAAGAGATGCTACGTCTGGAACAATAAACTAGGTTATACACTCCGTCCAGCCCCAGGATAAAGTGTGAAGAGAGAGTGGTAGAAGTATGAAGTGTAGGCAGAGCAAGATTTTATTTTCCGTCTTTGTAGTGGTAGAAATGCTTTCGTGACACCGACTAGTTATAGGTGAAAAACACGTATGCATCAATCAAGACATTTATTAAGGAAGCGTTTCGCTAAGAGTGGCGAAAAGAAGCTACTTGTGGCAAAACATTGCTTTAATGTCTTAATCAGTGTGTACGTATGTCTTCTTTACATAATGGCAGAGTAATAATCAACATCTGTATATTCTCTAACAAATTATTTAAGTACATAACATTTACTGGCATGTTCAGGGCTCTTTGACGAACATTTTAGGTATCACTGTTATAACTGTACATAGACAAATGCAATCAACGCACACCGAACATTAACGATGGGACATGGAACCAGGAGGTTATGAGAGAGAGAGAGAGAGAGAGAGAGAGAGAGAGAGAGAGAGAGAGAGGCAGACAGAAGGCCTTGGCCTAGGAAGCAACTAAGGGACTGGGATTCGATCCTGACACTAATGGAAGAGTTCGGAAAGCCATCTTTACACCTGTTCTATTCCCCCATTTTATCGAGCAGTAAGTAGGTACCTGGGTGTTAGTCGACTGTTGCGGGTGGCATCAAAGCGTTAATATGCCTTAGAACAGAGAGAACATAACAGAGAAGTAAACATGTGTCACTTACTGTCACTCTGAAACACTTCAATTGCAACTTGTGCTGTGTGTCTTAATTTCTTCCTTCTGGTCCTTAGTAGCTTCCAGTAGGAGATGATGGCCCTAGTGTATGCACGAGAGCAGAAGATAGACCATTTCAGTTAAGAGGTAATTACACAAGCAGTAGGGGAACACTTGTAAATGACGTACAGCTTAGACACCAAGTTTGGACACAAAGCTTGGACACCAAGCTTGAACGTCAAGTACTGTTCAAACCCAATGTCATCTGTTAAGTTTCCCTACTGTTTGGGTTCCTTTTATTATATGCAATAAGATCACAGAAAACAGGTTATGTCACAATATGCAAAACAACCACTGTGAAAGAAAAATGAACGTCCAAGCGCTTTCGTGATTTCTCACATTATCAAGAAGCTGTAAAAACAATGGAACAGCTGAAGGTTTATAAGGTCGAGAAAACTTCTCAAGTCAACATCCGACACCTCACCCGTCCTTTATGAAGATGCGGGTGAGATGATCAAGGACTTGTCAAACATAGCTTAAACTCTTCCCAAATTTTATTAATTACAGATGAATCTAATTTGTATAATCCTGAATCAATATTCACATTAAAATAGCTTTGATTTTAATATGAATACCGGTTTAGGATTACGCAAATTAGATTCATATATGATTAATAAAATTTGGGAAGAGTTTCAGCTATGTTTGACAAGTCCTTGACAATCTCACCCGCATCATCATAAAAGACGGGTCATAGAGGGACGGTCCAGGACAGTACCCGGGACAGTACCCGGGACAGTACCCGGGACAGTACCCAGGACAGTACCCGGGACAGTACCCAGGACAGTACCCAGGACAGTACCCAGGACAGTACCCAGGACAGTACCCGGGACAGTACCCAGGACAGTACCAGGGACAGTACCCGGGACAGTACCCGGCACAGTGCCCGGGACAGTACCCGGGACAGTACCCGGGACAGTACCCGGGACAGTACCCGGGACAGTACCCGGGACAGTGCCCGGGACAGTGCCCGGGACAGTGCCCGGGACAGTACCCAGGACAGTACCCGGGAGAGTACCCAGGACAGTACCCGGGACAGTGCCCGGGACAGTGCCCGGGACAGTGCCCGGGACAGTGCCCGGGACAGTGCCCGGGACAGTACCCAGGACAGTACCCGGGACAGTACCCGGGACAGTGCCCGGGACAGTGCCCGGGACAGTGCCCGGGACAGTGCCCGGGACAGTGCCCGGGACAGTACCCAGGACAGTACCCGGGAGAGTACCCAGGACAGTACCCGGGACAGTGCCCGGGACAGTACCCGGGACAGTACCCGGGACAGTACCCGGGACAGTACCGGGACAGTACCCGGGACAGTACCCGGGACAGTACCCGGGACAGTACCCGGGACAGTACCCGGGACAGTACCCAGGACAGTACCCAGGACAGTACCCGGGACAGTACCCGGGACAGTACCCAGGACAGTACCCAGGACAGTACCCGGGACAGTACCCGGGACAGTACCCAGGACAGTACCCAGGACAGTACCCGGGACAGTACCCGGGATAGTACCCGGGATAGTACCCGGGACAGTACCCGGGACAGTACCCGGGACAGTGCCTATTAAGTTTCTGTGGCTGTGCGGGCAAATTTGTGTCGCTCTAATAAGAATTAAAGAAAAATGAAATTGTTAGTGTTTGATATTAATGGAGAACGACTCACCTGAACACAAGGTTCACCTGAACACAAGGTTCACCTGAACACACGGTTCACCTGAACACACGGTTCACCTGAACACAAGGTTCACCTGAACACAAGGTTCACCTGAACACAAGGTTCACCTAAACACAAGGTTCACCTGAACACACGGTTCACCTGAACACAAGGTTCACCTGAACACAAGGTTCACCTGAACACAAGGTTCACCTAAACACAAGGTTCACCTGAACACAAGGTTCACCTGAACACACGGTTCACCTGAACACAAGGTTCACCTGAACACAAGGTTCACCTGAACACAAGGTTCACCTAAACACAAGGTTCACCTGAACACAAGGTTCACCTGAACACACGGTTCACCTGAACACAAGGTTCACCTGAACACAAGGTTCACCTGAACACACGGTTCACCTGAACACAAGGTTCACCTGAACACAAGGTTCACCTGAACACACGGTTCACCTGAACACACGGTTCACCTGAACACACGGTTCACCTGAACACACGGTTCACCTGAACACAAGGTTCACCTGAACACAAGGTTCACCTGAACAAAAGGATCACCTGAACATAAGGTTC